TGGCACTCGGCAAAAGCTGGAAAACTTTGCCGAGTGCCGGGACATTGCACTCGGCAAAGATTTTTTTTAAAAAAGCAAAAAATCTTTGCCGAGTGCCAGGCTGGGGAGGCACTCGGCAAAGAGCTTTTAAAAAAATAAAAAATGTCTTTGCCGAGTGTCTTGCCGCCGTGTCACTCGGCAAAGAGTTTTTAAAAAAAAAATAAAAATGGCTTTGCCGAGTGCCCGACAAATAGCCCTCGGCAAAAAACCTCTTTGCCGTTATTTTTTTTTTTCGATGACTCTTTGCCGAGGGCGACACTCGCAAAGCCTTTGCCGAGAGCTTTTGGGCCTTTATAAAGTGGCCTAGGCCCTCGGCAAAGAGGGCGTCTCCAGTGGTGATGTGCCGTTCACGGGATTTTCCACGCATATCGGCAAGCAGCCGACCCTGTACTGCGAATGTTTCATATCAGCTAGTAGCTGTTTAGAGAGCTGCGAGGAACGATGACTAATTTTAGAGAGCTGTGGATAGAATAAAAAAAGAGTTTAGAGAGCTGTGGATAGCATATCAAGAAGACTAATTTTATTTACATAGTTGCTGATGATGTAGCCAACAATCCTATTGCAGCCGAGAACGATGACTTTGCTATCATGGCGTGAAAGCACGTAGGGCGTGCTGGTAATGTCCATTCTCTCCCCGTGGGTTGCCTTCCCCTTAATCGCGGATTCGTTGTAGCGTTGCCGAGATATACGAGTCTTGATCCAGGCCTTGTTATGCTTCACGGAGATGTTCATCACCTCCAACTTACCATTAAACAGCTTGGTGCCGCCCGCAGTCGCAGTTGAGATGAAAGCGCTTGTTGATTGCGCATCGAAGTTCCAAGGCGAACGGGAACGGGACGTCGATGTCGCCGCAGCTCGCGTTCGTTGGGCAGTCGGGCCTCGGTGACATCGGGATGCGTGTGGTGGCAGCGGCGGCGGCGGCGGCGGCGGCGAGCACCCACACGACCACCCAGTGGCGGAGCCAGGATTTATACTCAGGGGGGGGCCGGCCATCAGGAATTATACTTAGGGGGGCCGGCTCGGTCTTTTTCATTACGATAATTTTATTATCTAATTGTGTTTTGTATAATTATATTATCTAGAAGATATTAATAGGTATATATGACAATAATTTTATATAATCTCTTTCTTAATATAAATAAAAACTATTAAGTCATACTACTATTTTTTATTCCCCCTGGCTCCGCCAGCGACCACCGGAAGGCAGAGAAGAAGACGACGTGAGAACTCCATGGGACGTGCCTGGGATCTGGTTGTTCACGTTACTGTTACTCTAGGTTAACTAGCTAATAACTACCACGCACTGCAGTGAACTATTTATATTGTGAACAGCAGTGTGGTGGACAGCTGGCCATAGCTTTAAATTTTGGACATTTTCATCAGAGCTACCGAGGATTGGCGCGCTAAAACGACGTGTGGCCGGCGCTTCCGTGGAAATGCATGGAATGCCGGCGGTGCAACAGCCCCGAGAGCCGGCCATTTGATGCGTGATCTTTCACAAGATTCGCGCGATTGGCCAACAATGTGCAAACAAGTGAATTTTATTCTCCAGCTGGGACTCACCAATCCATAAGGGCCTGTTTGGAATGTGTTGTGTATTGTCTTGCCTGGTAAACAGTTGGAGTCCTTACGCCACCTTTATCTTTAACAAAACAATACTTTGACGCACTGATGTCACCCTCACCCACAACTCCGGCACTGCTGACAAATGTCGTCTTATCTGGATTCAAGTAGTTACAAAACATTCTCTCGTGGACTGAAATGTCAAACGTTTGAAATATTCGTATTTGTCTATTGTTACAAATCTTGTAATAAATATTCAGACTTCAGTTTTCTAAAGGTTTATACCATTTGATCTTTCCAGCTATGCATGTGTACTATCTGAAACCTAATCTATCCAATCACTCCTAAAATAATGTACTGCATCTAGCTGTAGTACACAAAACCCTTCTGGACCGCACCTGGCTTGCATCTTCTGAGTCCAGATTAAACCGCACCTGGTCTGCAGAATCTAGTTGCTGCACCTGTACAGTGTCGTCGATAGCTAGCCATGGCAGAGTCACGCAACACACAATGACGGAGCCAGGAAACAATTATAGCTGGGGCGAATTTCAACGACGAAATGAACCAAAAAGGCACCGTATTCATAACGCACCGCATTCACATACTATAGTCATACAAATCATGGCAAAAACGCTGCAATCACACATTATGGCGAAAAGTAGATTGAATGAATATCAATTAACGTCTTAGCCTTAGCGAGTAACAATAAAATGATGGTAGCCCAAAACAATAGTGGACATTATAAGAATATACTTGCTAGTGGTGAAGGACTTTAAGAACGTGATATGTTGCCACAGGTAGGATCAATGCTAACTCAATGTTGCGATAGACCCATGGAAAAGTGATATGTTCCTTAGTTGCATGTACCTCACGCTCACGCCCCTCCTCTCCTCTCCATCCATCGGCAGCTCCTGTGCTCAGCTACTCCCGCACCTAGGCTGCTGGGCACCTGGCGGCGGGGCGCGGGGCGGTGCCTGGCCGGCGGCCGCTAGCGCTTGGGGGCGGCCAACAGATGGGGTAGTGCCGTGGCGCAGCGGCAGGTGGTGGCTGGCGCAGCGGCGACGGGCGACAGAATTGCAGAAGCGCTCGAGCTCGATGCGGACAGGGAGTCAGGGACAGCGGGATGCGCTCGATTCATCGATTGGGATGGGGAATTTTGGACCAAATTGGGCCCTTACTTCCTTACTGGGCTAAAACAAAAAAGGCCCAATGTCGCTGCCCAGCAGCAACCATGGACTAATGCCGCTCGATGCTCGTTCGTCACCATGGCACTCTGCTCGGCACCTCGCGACTCGCGTCCTCGGCACTCGGCAGCCGGAGATAGGGAAGAGAAGAAGAGGGGGTCCGGGGACAGGCTACGCCGCCAGTAGCTGGGGCGGCCGCCCCACCACGCCCCTAGGGTAGCTCCGTCGTTGGCAACACATCAGCTACCTAGTCGGTGGCCATCACAAAGCTCCACTGTGACAGGGGCCAGAGCAGAGGATTGATCGAGTAAATATAAAAACATGACAATAGTTGTTATAATTAATAACCATTAGCCTGTTGGGTTGGCTGGTTCGTGAAAAAATACTGCTGGCTGATTTGTGTGAGAGAAAAATACTATTCCGGCTGAAAATTTACGATCATTTACGACAAGCAACAGCCAAACGAACAGGCTGCATGGCAACAGCTAATCGAAGCCTTAAAAAAAAGAGAACTGCTTCGTACTTCTCTTTTTAAAATTGCACGAATCTCAAGGCAACCTATTTAACTATCATTTTCATTCTAAATTATAAGTCGCTTTGATTTTTTTTACAGCAAAATAAAAATCAAAACGACTTATAATTTGAAGAGAGGCAGTAATTATTATCTCTTGGGTCGCGCTGGGTCATGCATGGGCTCAGCCCGTTGAAGCCAGCCCTGACGGCCTGACCCAGAGCCCAGGTCGATCGCTCGCTACGATTCCTCGTTGACGGAGACGGGCGCGGTTCACGCTGCCACGACTAGCTGAGAGGTTGTGCTCGCCGTCGTGGCGACACCGCACGCCGCTGGGAACAGCTGAACGCGAGCGCGTCGTCCGGTGGTCTCCGTTTGCATGCTGAGGGCTGCAAACCTATTTATAACAAAGTTTTTGCTATAACTTTAGATTCATGTTTTTCTATAATTAATTCATAGCTACAGTTTCTCTGATCTAATTATGGTAAAATTTTTATGGTGGATTAAGCACTACATGCTTGAGCTGGAAAAAATTTCATGCTCATTGCATCATATATGACTGACTTATAAATTTATTTATTTATTTATCTAGGTTTATCTAGATAAAACTATAACTCAGTCATACATGATCTAATGAGCATAAACTTTTCGCTACATCTCAAACATTCAATGATTAGCTAACCTAAAAATTTCACCATAATTGGACAACATAAACTGTAGCCATGAATTAATTATAGAAAAGCTTAGATCTAAAGCTATAGCAAAAAAATTTATACTAAAACATACCGTATCATATGTTTACTGTGTAGATCTACTCATGTCGAGTCCAAAACAAAATTCATGCTCATTTGATCATGTATGACTGATTTATAGATTTAATTTCATTCAAAAACTATTTAACAAATATAAAACTAGATAAATCTGTAACTCACTCATACGTGATTCAATGAACATGAAATTTTTACTATAGTTCAAGTATGTAATGATTACCCCACCATAAAAAATTTCACCACTAGACTAGAGAAACCACAGCTATGAATTAATTACAGAAAAACATAGATCTAAAGTTACAGCTAAAACTTTGTGCTAAAGTATATTATATCGTATGTTTACTACGTAGATCTACTCATGTAGAGTCCAATATAATTAGATTTTTTTCTTTTTATGATTTTTTTTTTCAAAAATTTAGCCAAAATAAACATAAAAGAAAAACCACCAAGGAAACAATCGTGGAGGTCAAGTGACCTGACCGGTTTTGAGAGACGAGGAGAAATTATTTCTGGTTTTAGAGTTGAGAAAGAAAAAACTGACTTTCACGAAAGTTGAGGGGGCAAAATGGGCTTTTACCTAACAAAAAAAGTGACTTGGGCTTAGGTCAGGGTTGGACAAGGGCTAGGCTTCCACGGGTTAGGCCCATGCGAGACTCAAGGGAACAGTAATTAAGAAAAATAATTAGTTAGATGAGCTGCTTTGAGATCCGTATAATTTTGTTTAGAAATGGGAGAGTATTGGAGCGATTCCCTAATCGCATATGACCTATCAAATTCTGCTGCTTGCGGTTGGCATAGTGCGGGGAGCATCTCGCACCAGAAACCTACCCCAAAGACTGGTTGACGTTGAGCACATAGCTACTCCAGAGAAAACAGCACGCTTTTGTAGCTAGTCCTTGATCACTTAGATCGAGAGCAATCTCGGTCAAGGAAATGGCTATGGTGAGTGCATCCCATGGCGCTATGGACTCTCTTCTTAGGAAGCTGGGTGATTTGCTCACCGACAAGTACAAGCTACTCAAAGAAGCCAAAAGGGAGATCAGATCCCTTCGATCTGAGCTCAACAACATGTACGCGTTCCTCAAGGATATGTCAGGCATGCCCAATCCCAACGAACAAGCAAAGTGCTGGATGAATGAGGTACGCGAGCTGTCATATGACATCGACGACAGCGTTGATGAATTCATGATTCGTGTGGAGCAGGAATCCAGCAGCAAGCCACAAGGCTTTAGGGGATTCATCGACAGGTGCCTGAGCCTGTTGACGACGATCAAGGTCACCATCAGATCACAAGGAAGTTCCGAGGCCTCAAGAGACTTGCTGAGGAGGTGAGCGAGCGCCGCAAGAGGTACAGGATTGATGACACCATCTCCAAGCAACAAGACACGACTATAGACCCTCGCATGCTGGCGCTCTATACAGAGACAGCACGCCTTGTAGGCATCGACGGGCCGAGGGATGAGCTCATTCAGTTGATGATGGGTGAAGATGATCAGCTTAAGGTGATCTCTATTGTGGGATTTGGAGGTCTTGGTAAAACTACCCTTGCAAGCGAGATACTTCCTCCGTTTGTGTTTACTTGTCAGCAACTTTTTACTGCTGTTTTTTTTCTAAAAAAATCTTAGATACTTCAATGTCTATAACACTAATGAAGTATGTTCAATAAAGAATCATATATGTGAAAACTTGATGTATCTAAAAATCTTTTGCAGAAAAAACGTATGGTCAAAATTGCTACAGTAAAAATTCGGTGACAAGTAAACGAAAACGGAGGTAAGTATTTCACAAGGTGGAGGGGCAGTACCAGTGTCAAAGCTTTGTTCCTGTGTCCCAGAAACCAAATCTATGGAATGTTTTGAGGAAGGTACTCTTTCAAGTCGGCTATGCAGCCCCAGAGAACACCAACGTGGAAATATGGGATGTGGATGAACTCATCAGCACTTTGCACAAATTCCTTACAGGCAAGAGGTATATGTGTGCTAATCTTTAAATGAGTCTGCTCCAGAGAAATTTTATTCTGGTATTCCTCTTATTGCTTAGCCTACTATGATATTTGTAGTCAAAATTCTAGCATGCTGATGTAGTTAGCTTGTCCTTCGATTTCCATATATGATTCTGTTTCTGCAATAGAACCTTAGTCTTTGTTGATTAATTAAGCCTGTCCAAATGCTGTCAGTCGCATGTTACTTAGGCGTTAAGGTTTGATGGATTGTCTTTATTTTTAACAGTCTTCGCATTTTAAAATCCACTTCAGAAAGTGAATTACCTTTTTATGTATATAATCTGTGTTTGCCTAATCCTTGTTATTCTGTGAATGGAACCATTCGGCAGATTCTTCATTGTAATTGATGATATATGGGAGGCAATAGCATGGAGTACTATTAGATGCGCTCTTCCAGAAAACAAGAATGGTAGCAGAGTGATAGCAACTACAAGAATTGAGGCTGTCGCTGCAGCATGCTGCTCCAATGACTATGAATATGTTTATAAGATGAAGGCACTTGACACCGAGGACTCGAGGAGGTTATTTTTCAAAAGGATATTTGGTTCAGAGGATACTTGTCCTCCATATTTGGAAGAAGTGTCAACCGGTATCCTAAAAAGATGTGGTGGCATGCCCCTTGCAATTATCACTCTATCTAGCCATTTGGCTACTCGACGGAACAAACTGGACAGGGAGCTATGGGAGCACACACTAAATTCTTTGGGTTGCAGCCTTGAACTGAATCCCACCTTGGAAGGAATGCGACAGATACTGAGCCTGAGCTACACAAATCTTCCTCATTGTTTGAAGGCATGCGTGTTATATTTGGGCATGTATCCAGAGGATCACGAAATCAGCAAGAATGATTTGGTCAGACAATGGGTAGCTCAAGGTTTTATCAGTAAAGCAGGTGGGCAAGACGCAGAGGATATTGCAGTCGACTATTTCAATGAGATTGTCAATAGGAGCATTATTCAACCAGCACATACAGATAGTAACAACGATGTTCTGTCCTGTAGGGTGCACGATATGATGCTTGATCTTATTATACACAAATGCAGAGAAGAGAATTTTGTCACTGCAAGTGATGACATACAAGACATTAGTGGAACGCGTAGCACCGTTCGTCGACTGTCCCTTTACTTGAATGGTGTTACAGATAGCAAATCTCTTGGAACCATTCAACTCTCACATGTAAGAGCATTAACTAGATTTGGCACATCAACATACATACCTCCTTTAGGGGAGTTCAAGCATCTGCGGGTTTTGAATCTGGAACTTCGAGTTGGTGTCGCGCAGATGACAGTGGACCTAACTGGATTGTGTTATTTGTTCCAACTAAGGTACCTGAAAATTATGATTTTTGGTTTTGGTTATATAGAGCTACCAAGCAAAATTTCAGGATTGCAGCAGTTGGAGACATTGGAAATCGATGTAGGCAAGGTCCAGATTCCATCAGATGTTGTTCATTTGCGCCGGTTGTGGCACCTGATCGTTAGTGGCGGGTTCAGTTTGCCCGGAGGCATTGGTAACATGAAATCCATACACACGCTACGGTTTAGACAATTGTGCATGAGCTTGAGCTCAGCAGACACCATCAAAGAAATTGGGGAGCTCACCAATCTGAGGGATCTTCAACTACGGTTCAACCATGAAAGGCGATCAACAGTTTACGAGGCAGCAGCAAGACAGTCCTTGGATGCTCTGCACTCTTCCCTCGGGAAGCTTCTCGATCTCCGATACCTAGATATCAAGCATGATGGTTGCCTGGACGATGGATTCAGTTCACTCTCTGGTAGTGGTAGTGGTAGTGGTAGTGGTACTCCCCTCCTCCTCCTCCGGAGATTCGTGACGTTGTGGGGCTGGCATTCCAGGCTTCCCAGGTGGATTGGACAACTCACGAACCTCCACGACCTGCAACTTGCGGTCAAGGAGGTGCATGGAGATGACATCAGAATCCTTGCACAGCTAGCCTCCCTCACCAATCTCCAGGTGAAAATTCAGGCAACTCCTAGGGAGAACATGGTCATCTGCAGAGCTGGATTCCCTGTTTTGAAGCATTTTGAGATTGGATGTAGCAGGATGTCATACCTCATCTTTGAGGCAGGGGCGATGCCCAGGCTCCAGATGCTGGAGGTATACTTCAACGCTTCAGGATGGGACAAGCACGGCGGTGCACCCACTGGCATCGAGCATCTGTCAGGCCTCAAGGAGATCACCGTGCGAATTTCGGGCCGAGGTGCCAGGGAATCCAATCAAAGAGCTGCATTGTCCGCGCTAAGAAACGCTGTTGATGCGCACCCAGGTTGTCCTACAACTGACATCAGGTGTTTTGATGACATGTGGACAGATTTTGACGGCTACGTGATGGAGGCGGCGCAGGAGCCTGTGGACCTGAGGGCTTGTTTAGATTGAAAAAATTTTCAACCCGATGAATAGTAGCACTTTCGTCTTATTTGATAAATATTGTCTAATCGTGGACCAACTAAGCTCAAAAGGTTCATCTCGTGATTTTCAACTAAACTGTGCAATTAGTTATTTTTTTACATACATTTAATGCTCCATGCAAACGGCTAAAAATTGATGTGATGGAAAGAGAGTGAAAAAACTTAGAATTTTGAGTCCGTCCTCACCGTCGGAGGCTTATAAAAGAGAGAAGCACCGTTGTGTGTGTACAAAGACTCTGGGTCACACGCTTCTAAGTCCTCACAACGTGTTCTGCACTGCACTCCCATCAGACCCAACCATTGATTCACCTCGCATCTCTATCATTCTTTCCACACCTACTGCTCTCTAGGTAGGAATCTCGAGCACTTTGCCTAATCAGCTACAGTAAAAGGGTTTAATTTCCCTTTATGCAGTCTTCAAAGCTTTGTTCGGCAAGGGTATTTGCAGCTTTTCTTTGTTGTCTTTTTTCAGTGTGGTCTTAAAACTCTAGCAGGCAGAGGACATTCTAAGGAAGAAGACAACCGATTTAACCTTTGATGTACTCTTATTTTCTTTAGAGATTATTTTGTGTCTTATTATCCATATTTTATACTAGTATTTGTTTTTCTTGAAATACATCAAATGTGAGGCACTCTTTTCCGTGTCTTTATTAAAAAAAAAAAAAGAATATGTGAAAACTGAGCATGATAGGCATGGGCGCATCGGTGCATGGCCCCTTGCCATCCGACTATCCGAGCTGTTGCAACTGGACACATACAAGCGGGGGACAACACTCGTTCCAAGTTTCAGCTGCCTGCTTCCATCGCCACACGCACCGTCCTTATCTGCTGACTGCTACTGCCATGGACTTTGAACACGTAGTCACTCACAGCGGGCCTGGGTGATGTTGCAAGCATGTCGCCACCGAACATGGCCTGCCGCGCTGTCAGGTTGTGTTTGGTTGGAAGAATCAAAAGAGGGACGGACTTATTTTTGAATGTGTTTAGATCAGAGGCACCAACACGTGGAGGCGAAGTCATCCCATCTGGTATATTCCTGAAGATGCAGAACTCGCTCGTCTCTGAAAATTTTGCGGACAGGCCCACTTCTCACGCAGGCGTAGGGAAAATCAGTAGAGTTGGTGACCTCTGGCTCCAAGTATCTGCTACTAGGCGGAGTTGCGGGGTGTGGTGGCACGAGGGCCGGAGCGTGGCGGCATCGACCATGCGGAGGGTGGTTGCGGGCAAAGTCCTGTAAATACACGGCCGCAAGGGAGATACGGAGAGCAGCAGCACGGGGTACCTATTCAAATATATTTGAATTTTTAAATTGATTTCTTTTTAAACGTAAACAATACAAAGGCATGAAATGTGACAAATAAAAATTTTACTTAAAGTATAAAGGAAAACATATTTTCCACTATTTTAGTTAAAACTTAGAAAATTTATAAAATCATTTATGGTTTTTAATGTTTTCTGTTCGTGGCCTAAAATAGAAGTTTGGGGGTGTGAAAATATAGTTGCCCAAAACTCCGCTTTTAAACCCTAGGTTCTTGCAAGCTTACTACAAATTGTAAATAAAATAATAAATCAAGAACATTTGAGTTCAATTAACAAAGTAAGCACATCGTTTCTCTCTTCTTTATAGTGTTCATGCAAGTAACATTTACAACAAATGCGTATGCTCAAAGAATTATAAAATAATTTTGAAGAAAACAGAGGAAGTTAACTTTTGTTCATGACCGCACAAGCTCAACAAGGGTAGCTTGCTGATAATACTATTTCCTTTTCCATGGTATATTTGTTTGCTTGAATCGTTAGTTACTAGTTCAATCAACATGTAATAATCCTGAATGGTACATTATTAGCTAAAAATAATTGACATGAAGAGAGATAAACATGAGTGCTCGTCTTCCTTTGTATCCGTTGGAGCACCAACATGCATATACATAGCCCTCATATTAGCGAAACACTATCTATTGTTGCTAACACACACGCATAACGCGTAGTGTTGTCAATTTTGACTTCATCATCACTTGTATTCCATACGATCTCCCGTTCTATCATGATGGGTGCCTTTCCCCGTCGACTTTTGCGTCATATAGAACACTTCAAGGTGAGATCAATGGTGCTGAATTGAAGTTGAAAGGCTGCTGCTTTCTCCATCACAGTAACATAAATCAAGAACATATGAGTTCAATTAACAAAAAGTAAGCACACCAATGCTCTCTTGATAGTGTTCGTGCAAGGAACACTTACAACAAATGCATCTGCTCAAAGATTTATAAAATAATTTTGTAGAAACTGAGGAAGTTCACCTTTGTTCATGACTGCACAAGTTCACCGAGGGTAACTTGCTGATAATAGTATTTCCTCTTCCATAATGTATTGTCTTCTTGGGTCATTAGTTGCTGATTCAATTGACATGTACTGAACTTGAGTCGCATCCTCATTATTTATCCTTGGTGTAGTAATACACGGGAGAAGTTTTTTCTTCACTAACAAGTTTTCAAGTGTCATCTCCACTTCCCTCATTGTAGGTCGGTCTTCTACCCTTAATTTAGTACATATCATTGCAAGTGTGGCTACTTCTTGGAGGTCTCCATCTTCCTCCTCCATGACTTGAGGATCTACTATATCTGCTAGGTTGCTTATTGCAAGCATCTTCTCAAAATATGAAACAAGATTGTTGCCATCATTTGATCTGTAGACGAACGGTTTCTTTCTAGTAAGTAATTCTATAAGAAGAACACCAAAACTAAAGACATCGCTCTTGTCTGTTAGTCGACCCGTGTAATGAGACATAGAACCTGTTCGTTTGTTGGTTTCAGCCAGGACTTATCAGCCATAGTACAGTGTTTCCTGTCACAACAAACCAGCACCAGTCGGGCTTATCAGCTCAGAAACCAACCAACGAACAGGCTCATAGGGTCTAAGTATCCTGTTGTTCCTTGAATAATAGTTGTTACTCCTGTTTGATTAATTGGAATGTACCTTGAAGCTCCAAAGTCTGATACTTTTGCTGTAAAACTATCATCAAGAAGTATAGTGGATGATTTAATATCTATATGAAATATCAGCATAGAAGCGGATGAGTGTAGATAGGACAAAGTTCTAGCAACTTCGAGTGCAATCCTCATTCTATCTGCCCATGGTAGTAATATTGGTCCTTCAACATGAAGATGACTATAAAGGGTTCCATTTGAAATGAACTCATAAACTAGCAATGAGACTTCCGTCTCAAGGCAACAACCTAGGAGCTTCACAGCATTTCTATGGTTCACTTGAGAAAGAACAACAACATCATTTATCAATTCGTCGATTTCTCTTTGTACTACTATCTTTGATTTCTTGATTGCCACAACATGCAGATCTAGAATTCCTTTGAACACAACTCCATGCCCTCCACCACCAACCACTCGAGAGCTATCAAAATTGTCTATTGCCTTCTCTAGCTCTCTTAAGGTAATTATCATTCTTTCACCAATGTCTGTGTTGCGTGATATTAATTGTTGTAATAGTAACCCATGATTTTGATTGAAAAACTTTTGTTTCATCTTCTTCGCCTTCTGTAATTTGATTTTACGCATTATGAAGGGTCCACAAAGTGCTAGAAGAAAAAGACTTGTACCACCAACCACTCCTAGCCCGATGCTCAAACCTAGGAAAATACCGAACCAAATTCAAATAACCATGTAGCTAACAAACATACTAATAAGAAACAATAATAAGATCATGAATGAATAAATTTATAGTTAGTGAAAAATGTTTAAAAATTATTGAAAGAAGGTAATGAGTGCACATAATGGCATGTTACCTCTGAAGGATTTCTTAATGCACACTCCATTTACCAAGGCAGCACCATGGGAACATCGACAAATAAAGCTTCCTGGGAGATTTATGCAATTTGTTGTGTTGCCGCATTATGCTATGGGGTCCATACACTTGTAAGGAAAATGGACCCCTGGCCCATTTACTTTGGATTTTGGTGTTTGATGACCAACACAACCAAATTAGACTAATGAATTTGCAAGTGTTTGTTTTGTAGTCCAATAGGGTGCAAGACGTGACTTGGACGAAGGCGACGTGATGATCCGATGATCAACACCTCAAGCAAGACCTTAGAAGCACAAGAAAAGACCCAAGATGTCAAGCAAAGTCCAAGCATGAAGATAGGAACCAAGCCGTGCGCAAGATCGCAAAGAAACGAGCTCGCAGAGGCGACCGGACGCTGGACCGGACGCTGGAAGCACGACCGGACGCTGGACCGGTGGCTCGGCAGACAGGCGACCGGACGCAAGGACCGGACGCTGGCGGCAACCGACCGGACGCAGGAACGCAGCGTCCGATCGAAAATCTGAGAGGTTCAGCGCGCTGAAATCGCGACCAAAACGCGTCCGGTGGCGAGCGGCGATCGACGCCGCGGCGTCCGATCGGTAGTTCGCGGCTACAACGGTCGGGACGACCGGACGCGTCCGGTCAGGACGATTCAGCGTCCGGTCAGTAGCAGAAATGCGGGAGTTCGACCCCAACGGCTACTTTCTCAGTGGGGCTTATAAATACAACCCCCAACCGGCCATTTGAAGAGTGTGGAGCTGAGGAAACATATCAAGAGTGTTGATACACCATTTGAGTGATCTCCACATGCATAGTGCTTAGTGTTTTATTAGGTGATTAGCATAAGTGCTTTGCGAAGTGCTTAGGTTGATTAGACCATCGCTTATGCGCTTGCTCTAGGTGTTTGCCTAGTGTTTAAGTGAGGTTTGCATACCTCTTGCCACCCCGTGCTTGTGAGCACAAGTGTTGTACATCGGAGGGGCTTGAAGTCTTGCGAGATCACACCAACCGCGTTTGTGGTGTGGCCGCCACCGTGTCCGGAGGAACAAGGCCAGCATGGGTTTCGGCCGAAAAGCTTGATAGTGAAGACGGCGGGAGCATCCGGGAGAGGCTTGCGGAAGGCACATCGGAGACCCACTTGCGGCGTGGGGAAGGCCCGAGGCTATCCACGGAGTTACCCGACCGGGAGCTTGGCCCTTGCGAGGGATTCCTTGCGAGGGGCTCCAACGAGGACTAGGGGAAGCTTGCGCGCTTCTCGATACCTCGGTAAAAATAATACCGAGTCGTCGACGGGAGTTTGCATATCTCTACCTTGCTCTTTAAGCTTCCGCATTTACATTGATCATATTATTATCATTTGCGGTAGAGATAGCAACACACTAGCAAAACCGTAGTTGCACATCTAGATAGATTATCTTTTGCATAGGTTTTGCTAGAAGTAGAAAAAGAGGCCATAGTTTAGAGTTAGTTTTTAAGTTGCCTAATTCACCCCCCCCCCTCTTAGGCGTCCACGTGTCCTTCAATTGGTATCAGAGACGGTTGGCTCATATTTGGACCTTTGGCTTAACCGCCGTTGAGCCGACGCTTGTAGAGTGGTTGGGATGGATACCGCTAGGCCTCCACATTTTGACGGCACTAACTTCCCATACTATAAAGCTAGAATGGCTTGCCACCTTGAGGCGGTTGATTTGGGTGTATGGAGAGTCACTCGTGACGGGATGAAACCCATCAAGAATCCCGAAAAACCCACAAAGAGTGATGAAAAAGAAATGCATTTTAATGCTAGAGCTAAGAATTGCTTGTTTGAATCATTTAGCATGGATGTGTTTAACCAAGTGTTCACCTTAAATACGGCACATGAAATTTGGTTAAAACTTCAAGAGCTCCATGACGGTACAAGTAATGTCCGTGAGCAAAAACATTGTCTAGCTAAGCAAAATTATGATTCCTTTGCTATGAATGATGATGAGCTTGTTCGTGATATGTATTCTCGATTGAATCTAATTATCAATGAGCTCCATTCAATAGGATTATTAAAGCTAGATGATGCGGACATCGTGAGGAAGATCATCTCCGTTCTACCACAAAAGAAATATGCAAGCATCATCACCATCCTTCACAACATGGAGAACTTGAGCACCATGACCCCGGGCATTGTCATTGGCAAGCTAGTGGCATTTGAAATGTCACGTAAGATGGGTCAAGGAGAAGCATCTTCATCAAGCAAAGGCAAAGCTCTCGCTTGTAGCGAAAAGAAAAAGATGAAGGGCAAGAAAGTTGAGTCAAGCTCAAGCTCAAGCTCCTCAAGTGAAGAAGAAGAAGATGAGGATGATGATGATGATGAACAAGAATCAAGTGATGATGATCAATCTTCCTCCTCCACCTCCGACCTTGATGAAGAATCAATCAAATTAATCAACA